AAGGAAGGAAGGCAGAAAGAAAAGAAAGAAAGAAAGAAAGAAAGAAAGAAAGAAAGAAAGAAAGAAAAGAAAGAAAGAAAGAAAGAAAGAAAGAAAGAAAGAAAGAAAGAAAAGAAAGAAAGAAAGAAAGAAAGAAAGAAAGAAAGAAAGAAAGAAAAGAAAGAAAGAAAGAAAGAAAGAAAGAAAGAAAGAAAGAAAGAAAAGAAAGAAAGAAAGAAAGAAAGAAAGAAAGAAAGAAAGAAAGAAAAGAAAGAAAGAAAGAAAGAAAGAAAGAAAGAAAGAAAGAAAGAAAAGAAAGAAAGAAAGAAAGAAAGAAAGAAAGAAAGAAAGAAAGAAAAGAAAGAAAGAAAGAAAGAAAGAAAGAAAGAAAGAAAGAAAGAAAAGAAAGAAAGAAAGAAAGAAAGAAAGAAAGAAAGAAAGAAAGAAAAGAAAGAAAGAAAGAAAGAAAGAAAGAAAGAAAGAAAGAAAGAAAAGAAAGAAAGAAAGAAAGAAAGAAAGAAAGAAAGAAAGAAAGAAAAGAAAGAAAGAAAGAAAGAAAGAAAGAAAGAAAGAAAGAAAGAAAAGAAAGAAAGAAAGAAAGAAAGAAAGAAAGAAAGAAAGAAAGAAAAGAAAGAAAGAAAGAAAGAAAGAAAGAAAGAAAGAAAGAAAGAAAAGAAAGAAAGAAAGAAAGAAAGAAAGAAAGAAAGAAAGAAAGAAAAGAAAGAAAGAAAGAAAGAAAGAAAGAAAGAAAGAAAGAAAGAAAAGAAAGAAAGAAAGAAAGAAAGAAAGAAAGAAAGAAAGAAAGAAAAGAAAGAAAGAAAGAAAGAAAGAAAGAAAGAAAGAAAGAAAGAAAAGAAAGAAAGAAAGAAAGAAAGAAAGAAAGAAAGAAAGAAAGAAAAGAAAGAAAGAAAGAAAGAAAGAAAGAAAGAAAGAAAGAAAGAAAAGAAAGAAAGAAAGAAAGAAAGAAAGAAAGAAAGAAAGAAAGAAAAGAAAGAAAGAAAGAAAGAAAGAAAGAAAGAAAGAAAGAAAGAAAAGAAAGAAAGAAAGAAAGAAAGAAAGAAAGAAAGAAAGAAAGAAAAGAAAGAAAGAAAGAAAGAAAGAAAGAAAGAAAGAAAGAAAGAAAAGAAAGAAAGAAAGAAAGAAAGAAAGAAAGAAAGAAAGAAAGAAAAGAAAGAAAGAAAGAAAGAAAGAAAGAAAGAAAGAAAGAAAGAAAAGAAAGAAAGAAAGAAAGAAAGAAAGAAAGAAAGAAAGAAAGAAAAGAAAGAAAGAAAGAAAGAAAGAAAGAAAGAAAGAAAGAAAGAAAAGAA